ATTTCGCCGTGGCGGTGTAATCTCAATGTAGATTTCAATGTGTTTGCATCTTACCGGAATTGTTCGCAGGGCCTATTTTTCGCGAATTGTAAGCGATTCATGAAATTCGCGAACATTAGATTCTCACAAAATTTAAGTCGTTTACGCACGGTGTTGTCTCCGAAGACATTTTCTAAGAGTTCTACCGCGGTCATGAATGTAAATTGTCCTCGTTCTCTGGCAATGATTCATCATCAGGATGTCTAGAGCACGCACATGCAACAAGAAACACGACCGCGTTCGACTGTCCCTGGGTCGAATTGACATCCGGAGAAGTCACACTGGTGTAAAAGCCAGATTCCACAAAGCCAATGTGCTGCCACAGCCACTGTATTATTTCTATTTTGATCAAGCGGTCGTAGGGCTGCAAACAAGGGACCGATATTGCACTGCGGCGCCATGCGCGTTACGTGAAAACAGCGGCAGCTGACGTCGAGCGGAAAGCGATCGAGCCGCCGGTCGTTGTTGGCTGGTGATCGGCCGGTGGTTTACCATAAATTACCTCCATGGAGTCAGGCCTTTAAGCGACATTTATTACCAGAAAAAGGGTAAACAATAGCATGAACTCACGTGGTTTCTGAATCGCAGGCCATAATCTTCTCTCGTCGACCCACTCCTAGTTCGATTCCATTTGATTCACAAAAATACACTCGATTGACTCAAATAGGAGTAGAAATGGTTGACCGGATGCACAAACTACACAAACAACATATAAAGAGTACGTAATATAAAGGTAGAAAACAAAACAAAAACTCGAAAATAAAGCTCAGCCGGTGGAGGTCGCTACAGAAAACACAGCGTACTGTCGATAAACTGAAGGTCGAATATGGCGGAAGGGTTACTTGCAGGCGCATAAGGTTGTTGCGGTGTAAACAGGTAGATTTGAGTTTGGTACATATACTGTAAATAAAACTAGCACAAATCACTGCCTCGAAGTACTCAAACGTAATGTCAAAGTACTTTCATTACTTTTGGAACGTAATTGTAATGTAATGACAGTAATTTTAGTCTGCAGTAATTTGTAGCATAATTTAAATACATTTCTTCCGTTTTCAAAAAGTAATTATTAACGCAATTTAATTACTTTATGAAATTAATTTTGCCATCCCTGGTCTGCTTTTTGCGGTGATGTCAGAACGACGCCGTGCTCTGATTGACTTTTCGTGAAAGGACAGTGGGTAGGCCTTGAGGTCTACCCGCTATCTTTTTTATCGGGGTCGGAGGTGGCGTTGTTGAAGGACAAGGCAGTTTCCACGAGACCGCTACGTTTATTAGACCATGCTCATTGCTTGGTGGTCATAGAGAGTCGGGCGCGTCAGCCCTACGGAGCGCACCTTTCATCAGTTCCTATCTCATGCGCACTAACTGCGATGCAGTTATCAGTGGCGCGATGACGGACACGACACTTCCTGTCCTTTAATTTTGACACTGTTTGGAGCTGCGACCCGACTTGGTGTCTTTCCAGAGGTCGGTGGTCTCTCGCTGGGTAGCGTCTTGCAACAGGCGCTTGTGTGGCCTGGGACGGGGCAGAGGCAGCTGCCTTTTGAGTCGTCAGAGGAGTGCTTGCCGGTGAGGTGGTGGACAGCCGTAGTGTGCTGTCGCTCGTAGGACATAGCAGGAGCTCTGCGCCCTCCTGATATGGGTCAGCGCCTGCGAGATTCGAGTGTCGTAGCAGTTGGAATTTGTGAAGACGCTAAATGACACTGCCTCTGGGAGTAGTTGCATGCACCAGGCAGAAAACAGGGCCTGATTGTGAAACAATAACACCAGGCGCCTACTTTGTTTTCCCACCATAGCTACGAACCAGTACCTCACCGTCAACAAGAATATCGCGCTCGTGACACTGTCGAGTCACAGTGTGAATGAACAGTTTGTAAGCGACCCTCTCCCCCATGCCAGGCCTTTGCACCACTGATTAACTATAAATTCACTGGTGACTCGTTTGTGGTGGTGTGATCTGTGTTGCTATATAACAACATTACCATTTGATTTGTCTTCAGGGAAAGTGTTTTTAAGGTCTGAATGAAACGTACAGCGAGTCCTTAGACCTTGGATGGTAAGGAGCTGTCAGGACGTGACGGGAGCCCATTTCTTGCACGAATCGCTTGAACTCGTTTGACGTAAATGTGGAGACGATGCCTGAAACAATTGTTTCGGGGAATCCAAAGCGAAAGAAGAAATTTTTTAACCAATCAATGGCCCTTTGTGCCATTTTTATTGCATTTTGAAGGACTTCGCGCCATTTAGAATGAGCACCCTTCACACGTGCAAACCACATGCAAGCGATTTGGCGAGCAACGAGGCAAGCGACGGCGACCCTCTTCGCTGTCGCTTGGTCAGCCGGGCGACGATCCAAACCACATGGAAGCGACGGGAGCGAGCGACTAAGACGGTGAGCGACGTTTTCGAGAAATCCAAAAACCGAGCGACGCGACGGGGGGCAGTAAGAAATCTTCGTCGCTGACTCTCGTCGTTGTCGCCGTCGCTCGCTAAATCGCTTACATGCGGTTCGGCTTTTACTTAAAAAAACGATGCCAAATGCGTGCACATGCAGCGAGAAGCATGACTGCGATAGCCTTAATGCGTCAATTAAACTTTCCATATGTCGCAATGGCGTTGACTGCCCTTTATTTGCGACAAAACGAATGAATGCGATGAACTTACACAGTCTCTGAAGCCTGGGCCATAATCGTGTATCGTCGATCCATTCGCTGTCCGATTCCATTTCATAAATATGAAAATACAAAGAGCTATGTTCAAATATTAGATAGCGAATGATTAAATGAAAGCCAGAAATATCAAAACGACCTAAAGACAACACGAGATTTTAACGAGGAACGTAAAGGAACGCGAAAACAAAGCTCCGGTGGTGGCCGGTGCAGCACACAACGCGGAGCAACGGCGAGAATCTGAAGGTCGGCTATGGCGGCAGGGTCACGTGACGTCAAGATGGCGGCGCCCATGAAATGTTGCCTGAAATTGTCGATATACCCTCCAAAATATAACAAGGCGACTCATGCACATAAAATAAAACAAGGATGAACTTTGAAGGTATAAAATATAACATGACGCTTTATTGTGATTAGCAAGCTTAGATAAATTTTATATCATTGCCTGCCAGGAGTGCTATACGTTCTTTTTTTTAAATAAAGGAAACGACCTTGCGTAGTTCTTAGAGGGCATGTTATTTAATAGACTAATTTTTTGATAGTGCATACTCTGCCTTCCATAACATGTTCTTGTAGAGGGTTCCCTTCTTTGAACACGACGGAACGGGTACAATTCTTCTGTTGCGACTGGGGTGGAGTATAACCTTGTTTGAGAAATTAATTGAAATCATTTTAAGTACTATACATGATTTGCCTTTAAGATCTCGTATTTATTAAAACGTGGTTCCGTCCTCAGTTCTCTTATTCGCTCCCCATAGTTTTCGAATATACGTAGAACCTCGTTTTGTAGGATTAGTAACTTATAGTAGTCGGATGTTGTAGTTGTACCCCATAAAAGAATCCCATAACACATTTTGAAAAAAATGCAAGGAGTAATACAATGTTTCAATTACAAGGATTGCCATTTTATAAATATCGCCAAGAACTCGTGATAATTCTGACTTTAGTTTACTTACATGTGTATTTCATTTTAGCTCATGGTTAAACCACACACCTAGAAATGTTTTCTCAGTTACTTGATCTCCTAAATCACCTTCAAACATAATCTTAAGGGAGTTTCTGAGACGTTTTGTTGCAGGTTTAAAAATCACATATTTTGTTTTGCTTGTGTTTAGTTGTAACCCATTGGAACTCAGCCATTTTGAAAGCTTTACAAGACAGGCGTTTGCCCTTTCCTCCAGGCATTCCGGAGTTGCTTCACTAAAGAAAAAAAGATATTTGTGTCCTCTGCATACATTATTAACTCTGGGGAACCAGAAATGATTACGATATCATTTATATCAACTAAGTAAAGGGCCTAATATGAAACCCAGTGGGAATACATAACGCGGTTTTTTCTTATTTGATTTTAGATTGTTAATTTTTACGTATAGCTGCCGATTTGTTAAATAGCTTTTTAGTAATGCGAGCGCGACCCCGCGGATGCCATAATGTTCTAGTTTTCTGAGTAAAATAGGATGCTGAACGGTGTCGAACGCTTTCTTCAAATCTAAAAGCAGTCCGAGTGTAATTACCTTGTCTTCAATATTTGCAACCAATTTCTCTTTTATGTCGAGAAAAGCTTGCTCTGTAGATTTTTTCGATTGGAACCCATATAGGGCGGTGGAGATTACACTGTGCTTTGTAAAAAAGCTTTCTAGGCGTTTTTTTTATTACGTCTTCAAATATTTTAGAGAATATTGTTAGTACAGAAATGGGCCTATAATTTTCGATACTTTTTTACTACCGCCCTTGTAAATAGGAGCAACTTTAGCCAGCTTCAAATCAGTCGGGAAAATACCGCTTTTTAACATGCTATTCGCGAGGTATGATAGTATAGAGCTAATAATTCTAGCTACGTACTTGAGGGGTTGAGACTTCAACTCGTCGTAACCCGCTGCTACGTCTTTCTTTATTTTATCAATGAGTGTTTCTATTTCATACATTTTTGTCGGGAAGAACATTATTTTTGTTATCTTCGTCATTGTAATCACGTCGGCGTTGGTATTCGCGTCTCCAGTTCGCCGCTCGCCCTCTCGTGGCGGTAGCCAGAACGAAATATTTGAGGGTCTCCGGGAGGCTGCTATGGCGGATTCCAGCGATGTTGACGACCGTCTCGCTAAAACAGCCGTCTCCAAGTGCAAACGGCACTGTTCGGTGCCCCAATGCACCGCCGCCGCGTGGAAAGACCATAATTTGTCGTTTCACCGATTCCCGAACGCCTGGGAAACATGTCGGAGGGGCCCAGACGTGGTAAACAGACGCGACGAGTGGGTCCGCGTCCTTCGGATTGGGAAAAGTGTCACCGAGATCATGCCGGTGTGCTCGCTTCATTTTACTTCGAGCGACTACACCCTGCCAGGTAAGAGTGTGCCGACATGTGTTGCGTTGCGTTATCCGGGGACGGCATCACCAGGTTCGAAAAATCAGTGCAGCGATAAGCGCATCGATCGAGACAAACGATGAGGCTCATTTATCGGGCATTTTGGGCGGGCGGTCAACGTTTTTAACGGGGTCAGCGACGCAATAAAAACGGTTGAACGTGCTTATGATAGATTGCGATCAGCGTATTAACACTGCACTCGATCGTTGCTACAGTAGTGAAGTCCACGTCTCGACAGCGTGAGCCTGAAAACCGAACGTCGCGCTCGTTAGAAACGACCCGGAGAGCGTGTTCGTCGAATAAACACATAGGAGACGGGACGGTGTGCTCGTGTCGTCTCTTCTTTGTTCTTTTCCGTTCATGCAACCTGAAACGCTCGGAGAGAACATCCTCGGTGTCTTCGTGACATTCGCACAATATCGTACCTTGAATTTTAATCTTTTCCCTAGTTTGGAAAAGTAAGAGGTATGTTAATTTGCGCTGTTTGGTAGACTCGTACTAACAGCGAGTAGGCGGCAGAAAACTACATTTGAATGTGTAAACCTAGGATTGTTTCGCTAGCTCTTTGAAACTGAGCAGCCACTTTGTTAAGCTATCTAACTCGATCACCAACATGTCATATTTACTTCAGAATACCCAGCTCAGAAGCGCCACCTTAAGAAAGGATCTGTGCCCTCCCAAAACCTGCATGTTCTTTCCACTGAGAATGTGGAGAAGAGGAAGAGGGCAAAAGAACTGGACGAAGGCCGCCAGAAGCGACGTGAGAAGAGGGCGGTGGTGGAGCCTCTGTTGGCCGAGGTAAATATGTCTGATGCTGCATTATCTTATCCTGAGTAGTTCCTTCTTTTTTTCAGTTCAGTCAATGTGCAATTTCTTATAAAAAGAACAGTGCATTTCTTTCAGTCCTGTACTCACAAACCTTTCATACTACAGAACAATTAACTCATGTGCATTGGTTGCCATCTGCAGGAACTAAAACCACAAAAACAACTGAGGCATCAAATTAACCGTGGCTCCTAGCTGCTTTAGAAGGCTACCCTTTGCATCAGTTCTTACGCTGTGTGCAGAGAACGCTTGTCCCAGTGACTTTGCCGCTGTCGTCGTTCCAGTCGTTTCAAAAGCAACCGTCTAAACGAGGCTTAAATACCTAGACATGCGACTTTATGACCAGTTCGTACACTACGACACAACCCTGAAGCTGCGGGTAAGCATACAACAACAGATACACGAAAAGGCCTTTCCATATATGTGTCGTCCTTTCCTCATCCGTAGTCTGCGGAGTTTTGTCGTAGAGTTTCATCGCTACCAGCTTGTTTGCGCCCTTAAGTTCTGTTCATCGGTTTGTACACTTGCACAGACTGCGTCCACAGCAGCCAAAAAAACAGATATGACTGAGGCATCAGGTTAACCGTGGCTCCTAGATGCTCCACAAGGCTACCCCTTGCGTCAGTTCTCACTCTGTGTGCAGAAAACGCTTGTCCCTGTGACTTTGCCGCAGTCGGCGTTTCAAAACCAACCGTCTAAACGAGGCTTAAATACCTAGACATGCAACTCTGGCCAGTTCGTACACTACAACACAACCCTGAAGCTGCGGGTAGGCATGCAACAACAGATACACGAAAAGGTCTTTCCATATATGTGTCGTCCTTTCCTCATCCGTAGTCTGCGGAGTTTTGTCGTAGAGTTTCATCGCTACCAGCTTGTTTGCACCCTTAAGTTCTGTTCATCGGTTTGTACACTTGTACAGACTGCATCCACAGCAGCCAAAAAAACATATATGACTGAGGCATCAGATTAACCGTGGCTCCTAGATGCTTCACAAGGCTACCCTTTGCGTTAGTTCTCACGCTGTGTGCGAAGAACGCTCATCCAGATGACTTTGCCGCTGTTGTTTCGGTTGCTGTGAACACAACCAACACAATTGAGTGATAGAGCCTTGTGGTATGTGTAATTAAATATGTTTCAACTTCATTCTAGGTCGCACTTTGCGAGGCCGAGGACCTCTGTGATCGGGACGACAAGGAGGAACATTCAGCGGAAGTTTCAAGTGCTGCTCTGCCACCTGCAGGCTCGTTGGAGAGGCCTACCCCACCTGTAATAGTCCTCGACCAAGGTGTGCAGGTGTCGAGTGGTGACTTTGGGGAAAACTTTTCCCGCATGATCAATCAGGGTAACGTATGTTCCTTTACGGGCATCCCCAACATAGAGCTCCTCAATGTTCTAGAGAAACTCGTGTCTGGAAAGACACCCAAATCATCAAGAGCTGCACTGCCAGCAAGAGATAGAGTAATCATGACCATGATGGCACTGAAGCACGCTCTGACATTTGATTTCTTGTCAAATATCTTTGGAGTGTCACCATCAACCGCAAGTGCCACTGTCAGAAACACAGCACAGCTCCTTGCTGTGTTTCTGAGAAATGCAATAACCTGGCCCTCCAAGGATGAAGTGCTGCATAACATGCCGGTGTGCTTCCAGAAATACTCTCATGTTCGCATCGTACTTGACTGCACAGAGATTCCTGTAGGCACACCTAAGTGCCTTAAGTGTCGTATAAGCACATACTCTCATTACAAAAAAGGGCACACAATCAAGTATATGGTAGGCGTTTCACCCGCTGGTTTGATTACCTACATTAGCAGCGGCTCTGGAGGTCGTGCCTCGGACAAGGCTATCTTTGACCAGAGTGGTCTGGTAGATAAGCTGTTGCCGGGGATAGACCATATAATGGTGGACAAGGGGTTCCTGATCGACAGCACATGCGAAACAAGGCTGATAGCTGTGGTGAGGCCCCCATTCCTACATGCTAAGAAGCAGCTCTCGAAGGCCGAAGCTCTTGCCACGAAGAGCATAGCTGCGGCACGAGTTCACGTGGAAAGAGTTATCCAGAGGATGAAGCTCTTTAAGATTACATCCCAAAGGATGCCCTGGCACATGGTGCCAATAGCGGATGATGTGCTCACCATTGCATGCGGCTTGGTGAACTTATCGCCACCAGTTCTAGCAGATAACAGGTTCTTCTAAGCCTTCTGTAGAAGCAGAGTTTGGTTGATACCGTGCTAGACAAAGCCGCAGGAGCGTGCGGCATTGGACTACCGTAGAGTACCGCGGATCCGCCCATTACCAAATTTGTAAGATCTGAGAAAATATGCATGGTACATTTGTGTGTAAAATTCATGACCGGACAAGCGCCCATCCCCCATTTTTTCGCGATTATCTCCAAAATTTGAGTAAGCGCTCGCCCGGTATTTTACAGTATGTACACGTGTTATCCCTACTGAAAAAAAACCATTTGAAATTCAAACGGGTGGCAAACTGGTCGCCCGTTTGAATCAAACCTGTCGATCCGTTTGGATCAAACGTGATTATGGGATACGGGTACCCGTTTGGAAACGGTACCCGTTCGAAACGGTACCCGTTTGATACAGGTGCCCGTTTGATACGGGTGCCGTATGGTACGAGTACCCGTTCGACATGGCACGTGACCACACGTTTGAACGTGCCCTTCGAAATGGCAAATTATGCGCTAGCCCTAAATGGGTATCGTCTGGGAGGTTGGTTATCTTAAACATATTTAAGACGTCCCGAAACTCATAAACGTATTTATAACATGGAGAAAACACGTAGAACAAATGCACTCGCGTAGGTGCTTGTAAGTGGACAGGAAAACCGACACAAAAGATTGTTTTCAATTCTCCTCGAAGTTTATTACCTCTTCTGTAGACAAGTACAAACGTGCAAGCGATCTGTGAACACTATACAGGTAGACTTTCGGGGAAATTATTCTCCTGGCTGCCGCGCGATTAGGCGTTGCATAATTCTTTAGATAATTTAGAAGAGTACGCGTAGAAGAACGGTCAATCGTTGCCAACACGTAGGTTGCAGTGCACTTACCATAACAATAGCGGACTTGAAAGAGGTAATCCGTGATATTTGTCGACACGGTCAAAGCAGGACAACCACACAAACACAAACGAGAGGGAACGGCTCCTTGGAAGTTTCAACACGATGCGGCGCACAAGCTGTCATTTGCCGAACCCAACCAAACCGCGAGAATTTGCGACATCCAATACGTTGTCGAGAGGCGTCCCAATAAGACCACAGGGTTAGGCGACAGATTGAAGCAGGTAGAACGAGCGAACTTCGAGCAGCAACTGACAACAAGCAGACAAAGAAAAAAGCGGCTGCAAGGCGCGCCCTTCCGGATCTCGATGCTTATCAGCGTGTAGCTCGCGCGCTGCTGGGGGTCACGTGACAGGGGTGACAAGAGAGGAGGGAGGGGGCGAGGTCAAGGCGCTGGGACCACCGGGACAGCCCCTCTACCTCTCCCCAGGCATTCCAGGGAGATGCGTTTTTGTAGTCCCGAATAACAAACGCGCGCGCGCGCGCGCGCTCGAACTTTGGAAATGGCGACGGGGCTGCCAGAAGCTCGTCTTGCGCCCGAGCAAAGAAAGAACTCAGCGCAAGCTCGTAGTTTGAGTGCTGCAACGGCGGGCGTGCTCTCGCAATGCTCGATGTTCTTGCAGCCGCGTGTACGCGTGCTACCTTCGCTGCGTCTTGAATTAAAGTGAAACGGAGTCTAGACGTACATTCTTTCACGCGGTCGCGTCTTCTGCGAGAGAGATTCGAGCTGAATAAGTAAATTGAGGCAACAAAGATGGACAAAGTATTAAAGGTCTGTCAAAAATATCGGCTCACCAACGTCGCGCGTTTACGTCAAAAAAAAAAAAAAAAAAAGGTGTTAGTTTTAGTTGCAGTATAATCGAAAATCAGCGCAATTGAAATATAAATATAATTACTTGCATTACGCGGACGATCTGAAATCGATGAACCGGCGCTCCCAGCCTTCCGGAAAACATTGGCTGCCACGGCTGAAACGCTAGGCGTGCCCACGCCGCCGATCTGTACGTTCAATATCAAACGGGCTCCGGAGAGCCGTTTGATTAAACCGGTGCAATTTGCAACATGGTCGCCGGTTTGAGCAAACGTGCGACAACTTTGCCCAAACGAGTCGCCCATTTGCCCAGACGAGCGACCCGTTTGCCAAATAGGTGACCCTTATGGCTCATACGGGGGACCCCTTCGAGCCATACGGGCGACCCCTTTGACAAACTGGTGACCAGTATGGTTAAACGGTTACCGGTATGGACCCGTTTATTTTCATATGGGCGCCAAATGGTTTTTTTCAGTAGGGATGCAAAGGGCGAGAGAAACTGCTGCTGCCGAGTACCGGCCAATGGAGACATTTGCGGCTATCAACATCCATTTATCTGACACGCTCTGTTGCCATACTGGCAGTCATTCACCCCGGGTGGTGCTCTCTACACCGACATTGCTCATTCCTTCAGATGTTCTAAAGAACTCTACGAAAATTTTCATCTCGACAGTTCTGCTTTCAACTTAATGTCATTGTAAGGATTTGTAGCAAATCAGCTGATTGTGCATCCTTGTAATCGTTTCGAAAGCTGCAATTCCAAAGATATATGATCGGTTTACTCGATGCAGATAATTGAAATCACATTAAACCAAATAATCACGACTATCAGCAGCGCTGCTAAGCTGCAAGTTTTCACAGGTGTCAGCATAGATCTATCACTTGAGGCGGATGACAATCAGTACAGTAGCAGAGCAGGTTAGAAACCGGGTGTCAATAACCAACCGCTAATCGTGCAACCATCTGCCAACCTCCAATAATAGCCTCTTCACTGCTGGCGCAACGTACACGAATGGTCCGAGGCCACACGCTCCTGCAGCCTCGGTGACTTTGGCTGCGGCCGGGCTGGATACAGGTCTTTTTTTTACGGCCTCTTGAGCAAACCACGGACGAGGCAAGGTGAAGGTACTACTGTATGGCCGGTAGCCGCAGGCATAGGCGGTAGCACAAGTAGACCAATTATGCACACTCGGGGACAGCTTTCCTTGGCATGCAGTCAAAGCTACGGGAGGGCACCGATCAGTGCTCCTAGCTCGCACCAGGGTGGAACTGCGGCAAGGTGGGGTCGCGGCGCTTTGCGCATCCACAGGCATGATTTCTCCAGCTCTGGCGAGTATCCACAAGTATCCAAAAATCCAGCCCGGCCATGGTCCAGCACCGTTCCCTTCTTTTGTGTTAGCACGTGCCCCCCCTGTCGGTTTCTGCAGGTGTTCTTTAATGTTTCATATTTTAACACATTCTTTTTTGTATCTACTGCAGTGTTTGTATGTGTGCTTGCTAATGTTTGTATGTTTGTGAATATTGCAAGTGACATACCTTGTTTTCACTATCTTGTTTCTGTGCTAATGTATGCTATCCTGAGGCTGTCATAAGACACATCTGCTTGAATGTTCCACATTTCAACTCGTTCAGTTCGTCACCTGTGTGTGCATGTTTGTGTGTGTGTCAATCTCGCCACTTTGATGTTATCACCAGAGCACCTGGCGTATCTTGTTTTGTGCTAATGTATGCCATCCTGAGGCTGTCCTTGCATGAAGCTTCGTAAGGGACATCTACTTGAGTGTTCCACATTTCAACTCATTCTGTCTGTTCTGTTGGTCGCCTGTGGGTGCATGCTCGTATGCATTTGTCAGTATCGTCTCTGCGATGTCATCATCACTGATACATTTTCGGGTACCTTGTTTTTGTGCTAGTGCATGCCAGCCTGAGGCTGTTCTTGCCAAATGAAGCTTAATGCATATTCCTTGATACCTGTCTGCTTCTGTCTCACATTTCTTTGTGTGGGCCAACCATGTGTGCATGTTTGTTTTTCTGTCATATATATTACATGATTTGTGAGGGTGCCTCCTGGATGCCTCAGGAAAGCAGCTGCCAACATGTCGCTTGGAGACAGCTTCTCAGGGCCTGAAATTAAATCCCTAAGCGAAACAGCAGCAGCCCTGAAGCTTCTAGAAGGCTCTTTTTTAAGCTCTTTCAACCACCTTCATTTTTTTATTTCATTCATTCATTTATTATTCCTTGAGGGCCTGTTAGGGCATTATACAAGGGGATCAATAACACTAATAATCATTGTTTAAAATAAATTAACACTCACGGAGAGGAAGACAGCAATACAGGTGAATCAAAGAACAACAGAATACAAGTAGTTATGAACATTACACAATATTATTAATATTTTTTACGGTATGCACTGTGACCAGTAAAAAGGAAGAAAAAAATTAGCAGATAGACATATTATTAAGTTCAAGGTAATTGATTAGTTCTTCGGCAAATCTATCAAGGTTGGTCTCGGTTACAACGCTATCGGGTAATTTATTCCAGTCCTTGATTGTCATGGGCAGATAGGAATTGTAAAATGCTACAGTTGAACTAAAAATCGGACGAACTTTGCGGGAGTCATCATGGCGGAGAGATATGCTGTGGGGTGGAAGGAAGAGGGATGCTCTAATAGAAGCATTGTTATAGTATAATTTATGAAACAGGGTTAATCGAGAAAGAGTGCGCCTTAGCTTTGCTCCTTGGGCCTGTTATGCTAGTGAAACGAGTATTAATACTTGCATGCCCTTCATTTCAGTATGGTAGTGCCCAACGTGATGGGAAAGATATCAGCGAGGGGGGCAGCCACCAATGTTTTAGAACAGAACTGTAGCATGTGCTCTTTGGAGTCTTAGAGGATGGTGGTACAAGAGAAAAAAAGGGCCTCTGAGTAAAACTTCGGCTGACTTTAGATCTTTACACAGATTTATTCTGAATGAAAATATTGCACACTTCCCTAGAATATTCACATTAATTTTATTGCATATATGGAAGTCAATTGGCAGTTTATTAGTAAAAGGAAATTTTTACATAAGAAATATCACAAGCACAAAACGCCTGCTCCACGAAGATGTCCGTCACATTGGCACTTCTCAGCCTGACATGCCATACTCTTTCCTCTACGAGTGTCGGAAACTAGCACCGTTTGCGGCATGCCAACCAACCGCCCATAGACTGGCATGGCATGCTACATGCAGAGCTACTGACCGACAATCTGGAGAGAAGGGGCAAGTTAGTGAAAGGTGCCAATCTGACAGGCATCTCTTCCTAAAGG